GCCGATTGTGAGGAAACGCGGCAGCCGTCTTGCGGATAACTTACTCATGCCCAAATGATCATTCCAAATGTGGTTTCCTATGGCTTCCAGAACATTTTGCAAATTCAATCTCCGATCGGCCAGCTCCATATAGTGAATTCAATTCAATTTCAATTTATTCGGGTGTAGTATGCCCATATAAACAATACCCACAGTACCTAGTGTACTCAAGGGACCACACACTTTAACACTTTGTTGCAGTGCTCACGTAAACTTCAGTCCCAGGCATTTCTTATGTGCGACGAAACACGATTACAGAAATATGCCTCGCGGGACATAAGTGCAACGTCGGCATGTTTCACACAAAGAAAGGCACAAAAAAATACAGTAAACGTTTTTTTCCATTGAAATCAATGAGGAAGAGATCCCATAATATTTATCAAGCTTTTCCTTGGTTTCAGTGGTAGGTTTTTCCCACAAAAATTAATGCTTAATCAGCAGACGAAATTCGCTTTATTTCCTTTTTTTTTCAAATGCAAAGTGACCATGCTTCCAAATCCCGCCAATATTAACACGCTTGTCTAAAGAGCCTAAAACTTTTTCAGCAATCCACTGATAAAAAATACTAATCGAATAAAATATTATTTGTTGGCTAGATTTTGTTCTTTTTGTACGGCCGATCACTAATCAATAATGCCCTCGTAAGGCAAGAAAAAAAACGTGGTGTGAGCTGCTGCACCTCCCTCTGCTCCCTCCGGGAGTCTGTCTTTTCTCCTTGTGGCCGTCTCCTAGGGCTCTGTATAGAAGCGGACAATTAACCTTAAATAAGTTAACACCCTAAGAGTGCAGCAAGCTTATTTTAGTTATTAGTTCTCAAGAACTACCACCGCCCCACTCCGTCTTTGACGTTGCGACTGCGATTGCGATAATGCTGACAATGTGTGTCCGCTGACTCACCTTTTCTCAACTCCCACCAGCGGTCACCGCTGTTGCTGCCGAACTCTGCTGTTCTTTACCCCCACCATCGGGAATTGAAATTGATTTCCTGCTGCCGGCCAATGACGCGTGCCTCGGTCGACTTTTCTGCGAAGATCAATTACACCATCTGCCGTATCCAACAACTCTGCCGCTGCAGAATTTATTCTGCCGCGAACTAAAGGTTTCTTTAAGAGTTTATATTCTGGTTTTAATTAGTCGAAATCTGGTATTCAATAAAGGCACTACGCCAACAACCGAAAAATAAGCACGCAAGTTTTTCCTTTCAGCAAGGATAAATTTAACTTACACAGTCGGACACTACGCGAAGTGATTGTGTGCACGTTAAAAATAAGATAGTTTCACCAACCATTTATAATCTGTGAGTATGATCAATAAAGAAGGACGATGTCCTGTTTTCAGCAAAAGTGAATTTTCTCCGAATTTTTACACAAAACCCCCAAGACCTTGTCAGAAATAACAGTTATTCTAATATAGTGTGGGGCAAGCTTCCTCAAAAAGTGTCACTCAGGCAGGCTTCGGCTTTCACTTTCACCTTAAATTTGTGATTTAAAAAGAAATAAATAAATAATAATAATTAACAAATAAATAAATGAAAAGTGAACGGCTTTTCATGCAACAAAACCAATCCTCAAAATTGGATCTCAAAAAATTGGCCAGGGCAACAACAAATAGTGAATTCATCAGAATAGCTGTGGCAGCCCGATTTTGTTATAGATAAGTCTCTGTTAACTCAACCTCACTGTACGTGGGCACTATGCACTGCAGTGCAGTTCAAAAAGTCAGTTTTCACTCGTGATTCATTCGGTGAATACCTCATGGCATGTCCTAAGCCTGCGGTGAAACTCTAGATGAAATTTGTTTGGGCATATCCGCTTTTCACACTCGTGAAACTTCATATGAATTTTTCACTGCATTTTCTGGTGATTTTACCAATGGCTTGTACGTACATATAAGCCAAGAGTAAAATCACTCGGGACACTTCCGAAAATGTCCTATATGATTTCCGTGAGACTTCTCATGAAATTTAAAGGAATTTCACGGAAAATTGTATATGTGAAAGCCACCTAAAAATTTCTTCAAACACTTCATTGAAATAAAATTAAATATATTTATTTTAGACAGATTTTCTAGATTTTTTGTTGATTAAATTATTTTTAATATTCTGTAGGGACTTCAGAATAATACTATCCACTGACTTGATCGGGTTAATAAGCAGCAATGCTCCTGAAATTATATAAAAAATAAACAAAGTGTTTCCGGATACTAAATAAAAAAAAAACAACCCTATTAGGAGACCTACACATTCATAATTTTATTTAGTCTTACCTTTGAGCATAAAATATAGTCCGGCGCGGGACTTTAAACATTTTTGGCCGCAAATTCCGTCCAGGTTGTACTCCTGGACTACTGTGTCGTCCAGAACACTTTTGAGGCACCTAGATAATGGGTCCTTCTCCAGCAGCTTTAAACGGGACCATATGGCTAGAATGTTCTAGATTTAACTAACAACGAAACCTGTAATCACTGAATCCACGACTTCATAAAACACTAAAAAAAATACTTTAAAATTGAAGAAACATCTAACTAGACGCTCAACTAAAAAAATCACAGCCGCTCGCAACAAAAGAGTACACCAATTAATCGGTTTTTCCCACCCCTTTGCCACAGTTTCTTTCTTCCACCAAAAAATTGCATTTGACTCTAGCAGAATATAATGTTGAGAAGGAGACGAAATTAGCGTGAGTAGAAGCGGGAGTCGAATGCAGGTACAGAATACTAGAAATATGAGAGAGAAGGAAATCTATGGATATCTAAGAAAGAGATTCTTACGTGTCCGCTTCGATCTGCAGCAGTTGAGGCTGGACAGAATTTCATGTTGACGTCGACGTCGCTGCCACAAAGGCAACGTCGAGCCCGAAAAATGTTTCCCATGACACTTTCATGCCCTGACCACCAGAACTGCAGGGATGGGCACTAGTTCGGAAGTGGTGATATAACCACTCCCCAACAGATCACAAGTACTTAACGGACTAGCCCTATGCAATGTTCTTCTTCGTATTCATTTTTATCCGCAAAGTCCCAAGGCATGTCCTATAAACATTAATTATTAATTTATTTTGATTTCTAATGCAAATCTTTAAATTTACTTTTCAGCAGTAATTTATTTATTGATTTATTGATTATGCTCATTCCTCAACTGTTCTTCAGCTGATCCAGTCTGTGCCCTGGCATCAACATATAAATGTATAATTTAGATGTATGTTGTTCGTGTCCGAGCACTTGTTGGTTTTTCTGCATATTTCTTCATTAGTTTCTTCTGGAGTTTGCATAGCACCGTTCGCTCTACATTGTTCAGTTTATGTTCATTGCCTTATCTTTGTTTTAATAATTTTATTGTTGAATATTAACTTTTTCACTTATTTTTCACTGGAACTCATAAAACGCGTCTCACCAAGTGCAGCCGAAAGCAATTGAACATTCCAGCCAGCGTTCGCATCTACTACTCCGGACTCCGGAGCAGCAAGAGCCATACAAATCAGCGTTTGAAAATGCTTCGCTACTCCGTAGTATTTGGTTTTGCTCTCGCTTCCGCTCTCACTTCGCACAGAGCCGAAGCAGAGCCATACCCAAAAAACGATAAGGTATTTGCTCTGCTCTGCTTGTAGTTTTTCCACGTCATACGCTTCAGCAATAGCAACAGCAGAAAGTGAAATTATATGCTCCGCGTAGCCGAGGCGACAGCTGAAAACTGAGAGCGAGATGAGAGCAGAGAAACTGAAATTTTTTCATTTACTACGGCTCTCATGTGTTTTTTTGTTTTTGCAATAATTCTGCGATCGCTTTTTTTTATCGCTGCACCGTGATAAAATATTGTTTTCATTTGTATACCCTTACTCGAAGTGTTAAGGGGTATATTGTATTTGTGGTAAAAGTGGATGTGTGTAACGCACAGAAGGAGTCGTTTCCGACCCCATAAAGTAATATAATCACATATTCTTGATCAGCATCAATAGCCGAGTCGATATGGCCATGTCTGTCTGTCCGTCCGTCCCGATGAGCGGCTAGTTCTCAGAAACTATTGGAGCTAGAGCTACACAATTTTGTATCCGGACTCATGTGATATTATTACACTGCTACAAGTGTATTTCAAAATTTCGCACACTGAGCACTCTGTAGAATCTACATTGTAGATGTAAAATATATACATGGTAGATGCAAAATCTACATTGTAGCAATAATATGTAATATATTAAATATTTTGAAATTCTACATAAATCATAATCTGACATATTTATATACTGACTGGGTATAAAAGTAGAGACGCGTCCACAGAGACGAGCTCCCAATGATGTGCCCTGAACAAAAGAACACACAATACATTTCTCCGGTGCGGACTCTACTATCCTCTCCGTTGTTACACCACCCACTTTTGCCCCAACAGATTTTCATTCCCAATTCCTTATATATTTTTGCATGCTTCCAGGAACTAAGCAGATATAAGATTCAGGGCTTATCCGGCTGCGGAGAGATGTTCAGACAACAGGTCGCCCTGCTGCTAGGGGGCCTCTTCCTGCTCGGCAGTTGTGGCCTGAACACAGCAGACAACGGTATGTCCGCCACAATCTGTGCCCATTCTGTGGCAGACACTGTACAGTAGCTCCTTCTCGTTACAGAAGGCGATGAATGCATGGTGAAGGAGAACTTGCCGGGGATCTGCCGCGCCTCGTCCGCCTGCGAGCACTTCGTCGACGGGTACATTAGGTCGGGCATACTCTCCATCGACGAAGTCCGCAGCTGCGGATTTAGCTCGCGCGAGGAGCTTGTCTGCTGTCCCACGAAGCCCTGGTCCCCCAATGAGTAAGCCAATTAGCCTCCTGAGTGCCAAGTGATGTTGCATCTGATATCTCCGACTTATCCCATCCAACAGTCCAATCTCAAAAGCACCTGCACCTTCACCTGCTCTTGCACCTTCAACCACAAGTCCAAATGACACGATCACAGAGCAGAGCCCGACGGGCACAATGTCCAGGGTCCGGCCAGCCGTCTCGAAGGCCCCAATCACGCGTGTCGATGGGCCCACAGAGCGGCCATCGCTGGTGGCCTGCAGGAAGATACGAAGCGAAAGAATGCAGAATAGGCTGGTTCCGAACATCCTGATGGGGACCCCCGTCAATGACGGCGTCTATCCGTACATGGTGGCCATTGCAACAAGCAGCTTCGGCTCAAAACCTGCATTCAGCTGCGGCGGCTCCCTGATCTCGAGTAGGTTCGTCCTCAGCGCTGCCCACTGCTTTAGAAACACGGAAGTGCCAACGTTCGTGCGCCTTGGCACCGTGAACCTCGTGAATCCCACAAAGCGATATCAGGACATCGGCGTGGTATGTACCCCTACCCCCCAACTACCTCCACACCTGCCACCGTGCGTCGCATCCTCACATCGATGTACATACATATGTTTGTTGGTTTGTTTTTGCAGAGAAACTATAGCACCCATCCGGACTACGTTCCCCGCAGAAAGTACAACGACATCGCCCTCCTGGAGCTGGAGAGGGAGGCTAACATTGCCGCACACAGCAACATCTATCCGGTGTGCCTGCACACAGATCCCTGGGATCTGCCAGTCAGCTCCAAGCTCTTTGTGGCCGGCTGGGGAGTCACGAACGTGCACAGTGAGTAGTGCCCCCAGAAATGAATGAATCAATGAATGAATACTCACTCGGCTCCCCCTGCACAGATCGATCCATGTCCGATGTCCTCCTGCGTGCGTCACTTGATCTGGTGCCGCGGGACAAGTGCAACGAGTCGTATGCCGTGCATCCAACCGCCATCTATTCCCTGAATCGCGGTGTGATCGACTCGCTGATATGCGCGGGGGACACCAAGCAGCATAAGGCCGATTCCTGCCAGGGCGACTCCGGCGGCCCGCTCATCTTGAACATCCACGGGGAGGAAAATCAGTACGCCATAGTGGGCATCATATCGTCTGGGTTCGGCTGTGCCACCAACACGCCGGCACTCTATACTCGAGTCGCCTCGTTCCTGGATTACATTGAGAGCATTGTCTGGCCGGAAAATGTCCTGGGCACGGGGATATGAGCCAATAAATTCAAAAACCACCGAATATGTTCGATTAGTTTGTATGTTCCCACTCAATAAAAACAGTTTAATTTAAACAACGAAAACAATTTCAGGCACGCACGACAAGCGTTGAATATTGCAATTTCGGCTTGGGAAATATTTTTAGCTGACATTCCGAAAAGAGAGCAAAGAGAATGGTCAGCTGTAGTCCTGTCCTTGGGTAATTGATTCATGATAATTGTTCAGGGCAGCAGCGCTGTTAACATCGCAGAGTTAACAGTCGGTTGACGGTGTTGCTAACAGCGCACTGTTAGCTCGCTCTCTCGCGCTGCTCAGTCACGATCCACTCGACTCTGCACCGCTGGCGCTAGCATTAAGCTGCCAAAATATGTACATAGTTAGCTAGTCTCCTTCTACCCCCCGTACGGTGTGACTGCGCTATAGCAGACTCGTTCCACCCCCCGAACCAACCTTGTCGCGTCATACACAAATGTCTAACATCGAAGCACCCTCCCGACTACTTTATTGGGAACCAAGGTAAGGTCTTTGGGAACTTTCCAGCGATCATCCATGCACCCTCCTGCAGAACACTAATCAATTGATAATATTTAAGTGGATGCGGCAGGACTTGTTGGTGGGGCTCTTAGAGTGCTGCTCCTTTCATGCACATACATATGTACATCTTATGGAGCACCCTGGGCGGGACAGTCGGTTGACCTTTTCGTAAATGTCTTAAAGACATCTTCATTTCAGTGACCCTCAGCAATCTTCTGCCTTTTAATTGCCTGCTGGCCCCAGGCCAGGTCAGTCCCCGTTTCCGTCTCTGTGTCTGTGTCGGTTTCAATTCCAGTCCAACCCTCGCAGCAGACCGGCATTCATTTGAACCGGCCATTTCATTAACTGGCCCAAGGCGAACCGAAAACGCTGTGGCGATTAGTTCACAGTCATAACACACGGCCGAACCGCAGCGACTCCAACCCTCCCCTCAAGCTCCTCTCCCACTCCCACTCCCACGACCAGGACCACCCCCACTGCCCACTGCAGTGGAATGGACTGCAGCCCCCACTCCGAAGCAGATTCCTATTCGGACCCCTCCATCGACACCGCCTGACTGACTGTCCGCTACCTACCCCCACCCCGCCAAGAGTCCCAATTCCACCACCTCCCGCCCCACTAAACTATAAAATTTTATGACTTTCTACAGGCCAGCGGCCATCAACAGGAGCCACACACACACACAAGATTCGGCTACACTGAACGGAAAAAGGAAATAATTGAAATGCAGAATAAAAACAGTTTAAAGATTATTGATTCAATTGTTTGGTTGTTTTAAGCAAAACATTGTGATAATTATACACAATATAAAAATGGCTACTCGTTTTGGAATTTAAATAATTTCTTTAGTAGAACTCAGGCATGACATTGGTCCCATTTCCGAACATTTCAATCAACATTTGACGCTTTCCTAATTCAAGGAAATTTAATATCTTCCACAGATTTTTCTGGACTTAAATATCTATCGGCCATTCGGCATGCGAATACACTGATCCATTATTCTTTCTTAATTGCTTTCGCTTAGCTTTGGGCATTGATTTCGCTCCATCCTAAACCTAAGCTTCCCTGATTGTACCAAATATTTTTGCCAGTGTACTGGCGAATACACGCACGCACACAGACATGTCGGAGGAGGGCACGCTCAATTGGTTTCTGGTTTTTTCCATGTTTGCAGGTAGTTTAGGCTGCAGCACTCCGCCCCCCCCACTACCGCATAGTGGGGCCCCCATGCCTGTCGACCCTCCCAAATTGCGCAAAATGTTAACAAGCAATTGAGCAGACAAACAAACAACTGTTGAAGCTGTCCGGGGGGGGAGTGCCGTGGTGGTGCTTGGGTGGTGCTGCGTTGATTAGTTTAACGCGTCCAACGTAGCGGAAAGTTGCGACGTCTGCTCATTAAATTGAACCAGCCTTATTAGTCGGAATGTGTCCTTGCTGTGGCTTAAACCAGACCCCATTCCCACTCCCACTCCCACTCTCATTTCGCATCTCAATTCCCATCTCCCCCTCCCTCACCATCCATGGCATTCTCAACGCTATAAAATGTAATTTTATATCGAGCAAAGCTACTTCATCTGCAGTTCTCCGCCAGTGCCGTGCCATGCCGTGTGTGCGGTTTTTATGGCCCGCAAACGATCCAATACAGCCGTGCACAGGCTATGGCGAACATTGGCTATTATGTGGAAGTCTGCTTGAAGTCCAATCAGAGCTATAGGAAGAGCCACCAGAAGGAAGGCAGCAGCCAGCCTTGGCTGCCTTTGTAGCCTACCATTTTGCTTACATTTTTATACTCAATTGATTTAATTTGAGGAATAAATTAAAAGAGTTTTCCCCATGCAGAATCAATAAAAAGAAGGTTCTGATGAATAAAGAGTACAAAATTCCCTTTACCCACACACCCACAGCTCTTTTGCGGGGTAAGCATCACTTTTAAATCCTGATACCTTCGTTGTATCAAAGGGTATCCAAAGTACTGTGGGTGGAGAGGGAGGGGGGGTTACAGACTCTATGTGTAGGCGTGAGGCAGAGCCAAGTTTAACTTTCAATATTGACACATGGCAGAAGTTTGGCTCCGTTTACCCAGCCGCTGGCGCATAATAACTGTCAAAAATCTTTCAAATTTTAATCAACTTTATTTTTGGTGCCACGCACACACACACACACGCACACACAAACGGCACACACACACGTCTCCTCGCTTTTCCAGTGCCTGGGAAAAGTTTGCTGGCTTCTTTTTCCTTGGCCAAACAAACACACATATGAACATTAATGTAAATGTGCGGCAAAGGCAACAGCAAAGGCAAAGGCAAATTCAAAGGCTGCCGATGCCGATGTCGATGTCTTACCATCCTTCCCCCATCTCTGTCTGTTTGCCGGCAAGCCAAAAGTATTAAAAACGCATTTAATTAAGTTGAAACTGTGGGCTGAGTGAGGCCGAGGCCTTGACGGAGTGGCAAACGGAGGCAACGCAATTAACCAAGTCTTGCCAGATAATCCCTATGACAGAATCTAGGTATTAACTTTGAACTCACCTCAGAAGTCAATCGATAAAACGACAGAACGGTATGTCTATATGTGTACATTCTGCAGAGGTATATATATAATAATATAATACCAAAGAAACCTTCAGGTTTCAAAGGCACTGCTTGATCACTTGCTTGAAGGGATAAACGAACTGCTTGCCTTAGAAGCAGATAAAGCATTAAGATCAAATGTAAAGAGAAACGAACAAAACCTTCAGGTTACAGCGGCACTGCTTGAACCGAAAATGAACTGCTTGCCTTAGCGGCTCACTGCTTGATCAAATGTAAAGGGAAACGAACGAAACCTTCAGGTTTCACCGGCACACTGAACGTGGTTCAGGTTCTGTTGCTTGCTCATTTAAAAGTATCTTCAGTAATTCCTCGCAACAGTACGGTAGCAAATTCATTTATTGATAAAATGGAGAACAAGCGAAAAAGAAAAGGCATCGAATAGAGTGGACGACTGTTGTGGTGCGAACATTGGGCTCCTTAGTCGGGAAATCTCCAGATCTAGTTGAATATTCTTCTCGTGCTGCCTATCTCTGATTTGCAAGAGGCAATCGTTAAGCTCCGACATGTTGTTTGTGAACTCTGCCAGGCCCCCCTGCTGTCCGCAGACATGGCCTAGCTGCTGGTGCTGTTCCTGCTGCGAGTCCAGCTGCGAGTCCAGATCTGACTGTGTGTCCTCCTCGGTGCCTCCTTCCAAATCCAGTGGCTCAATCGTTTCGCGGCTGGCAGTATTGGTCTGCTTTAACACGTTGACTTCGTCGGTGCAGCTTGATATAAGGATGCGGTCGTGAATACCCTGCTCCCGCAACCTGACCATGAGCTGCTCGAATCCGAACAGCTCAGCCCGCACATGTTCCAGATCCGAGTGCAGCTGCTCTGCCCTTTGTTCCCGGGTGTCCACCTGCATTGCTGTGCTACTTAATTTCTCCTGCAGCTCGCTGAGGATTGGCAATCGAATTGTGAAATATGAAACAATTCAGTGGGGGGCCGCCTCACCTGATCTTCGTTTCCAGCTCATCGTTGCTCTTCTCTCCATCGTGCAAGTCCATGATATCCCGACGTCTCTGCAGTTCGAGTATTTGCGCCTGTACCTCCCCCAGCTGCACCTCCAGGCAGACTTTGTGCTCCCTGCTGCCTTCGAGCTCTCTCCGCGTCCGTAGCAGCGCCTCATCCGACTCCTGCACTTGGTGCTGCAGGTCTTCATTGCTGTTGGTTGAGAAGGCAAACATACATAAGTCCCACTCCATCAGCCCCGGGCTGCTCCACTCACAGGGACATCAGCTGTTCCATATAGGGCCTGATCGAGGCGATGCTGCTGTCCCTAGCCGTCAGAGGGGCTTTCCTGACTTCCAGCTGCCTTGCGCTTTCGATTCGTTGGGCCTCACTGCTCCGCAGTCTCTTGCTTAGCTCGTGCTTTGTCTGCTGGAAGTTCCGTTCCCCCACTTTGAGCCTGCCCCCGATGTTCGCCTTGAGCCTGTTCATTCTTTCGTTGTGATCCTTATTGATATGCAAGAGCCGGGCCTCCATGCGCTGCTGCTGGCTCCGCAGCCTGGCTAACTCTTGGTACAGGATGCTGTCGGGCGAATCCTGTTGGCCCACAGGTGCTACACTCTCTCCACCTATACTGATGCTCTCCATTTGGCGGCTCTGTGGATTTATATGGGAGAGGGCTGAGTCTCTCTCTCTCTCTCTGAGCAGAGAGCAGTCCTACCAGAAGATCCTTAAGCCTGACCATTAGCTGCTCCTTCTGATTGCACGCCTCGAGCTCGTCCCTGGCCCTGCGGATGGGCTCCACGTGATCGAAGAGCATCCCAAAGCCCGAATCGACGGCAGCCTGGCAACGAGCTTTCACATCTTTCGCTCTGTCGGCGGCTGTGAAACGAAAAGCACTGCAGTGTTCGGTGGTTTGGGGCAGGAACCGGATGGGCGGCCATGAAAACTCACACGAATTCGGGGGCACGCTGATCGGATCCTTATCCTTTTGCAGAACCAACTTATTGTCCGCGTCGAGGACTAGTGGCACAAGCTGGCAGGTGCCAAGCATCCTGGACTCCTGCGGACCCAAAGATTTCAATGCATCTAAAAAGTCAGACTGATGGCCTTGCAGCATCTGGTACTGTGTCTCGACGATCCGCAGGCGGGATTTTCCTTGGATTGCAGCAAAGTTGAATAAAAGTACGCGAGGGGGGGGTAAACTTACGTCTGCCGAGCTCCGGAGTGGCGGCTGTCAAGCGCTGCGCACCAAAGGTGTTCGTCTTTGGTTGGGGGATCTGCGATGGCAGCTTCCCTGGCTCTTCCATGCGCCTGTGGACAGACTCCGAACACTGCTCAGTGCCACAGAGCTTGTAAGTCGTACGCGATATCCCGGGCGGACTCGGCAAACTTTCATTCGAATCCTGGACAATATTTCGCATTAGTTTTGCCAGCATCCTGGCAGCCCTGGCAGCCTGCTACCAAAAGAACTCACCCTGAACTTATTCGCCGATGCTCTCAGCTTACTAGATTTATTGGCTGCAAAATATGGAGGAGCAGTGAAATGAGTTGCGACCAGCAGATCAGGGGCACTCACGTCGAGCATAGCCTGTGTTCGGGCACCTTGGGTCCATGGCGTGTGAGGTGTACTACAAATTTCAATGTATTTCCCTGCTCTGACAGCTAATGCCTCGGAATATCGTACTAGGATCAGGTTTTCAATTCAGAATTCCTCATCCACTCTAGAGTCTGTGGGCAAGTACGAATTGCGTTCCCATCAATAAATTGAATGCCTTTAAAGTTATCTGGTTACCTGAACTTGAGGCTCCAATAATCGATAAACCTTTGAGCTATCCCTGGGCCAGACTGTACTCTCCCATGCCCGTGCCCATGCCCACAACAAACCCAAATACCAAACCCAAGACAAGAGCAATTAGAATATGGCGTCTTGCAGGCGGTGACTCCACCTCCGCGAAGATGCCAAAAAATTTGATATATTGTCAACTATGTTTGCCCAGCGCAAGCCCATAGTCCAATCCCAATCCCAATCCCACACACTTTGTATCCCTGCAGCTGGGCTGTGAATCCACCTAGACGACGTCGCTGTCACTGTCGCCGTCGCTACTTTGTCTTGTGCATGCCAACAATAATTTTTGATTAAAGATGAATTTTTAATTTAATGTATCTCACAGATAGAGACGACGCAACCGTAGCCATGCCACAGCCATAGCCGGAGCCGTATCCGTATCCGTGGTCGTAGTCCAACGAAACGTAAACGAGACAAGGCAAAAGGCACGGCAAGGGGAGGACACAATGGAGGAGGAGAGCGCGGAGCTGGCCGGCGTCGTGGCTAAAAAACATCAGGGAAATGAGGGAAAAAACGCACGAAAAACGAAAATGTTTTTTAATCTCAACGGCAAACGGAAGCGGAAATCAAACGACCAGAACAGCGGCCGAGCGGTAGGCGGGGGAAACAGAGAACTTCAAGTGATGTAAGTGGTGGCATACGCGGTGCAGCAGAAGAAGGAGTACGACGGGATGGAGTGGGAGTGGGAGTGCTGGTGCGGCTGGGAGAGGAAGTCAACGACCAAAGTATCAAACAAAATTTTTAATGTCTTGACTGGGCCTCGGCCCACGCTCCACGCTCCACGGTCCCTTTTCCCGTTCCACGAGTCACCGTTTTGGTGTCTTATGCCTCGGCGCCCTGTTAAAAAGCCCGCGAAATTCACCCCCGAACCAGCCCCGCGCATCGCTCACCCCGCCCCCTGTAACTGCCCATCTTCATGGCACTCCCACTCCCCCTAACCACCACCCAAACCATCCGACAGGAAACGGCCTTTGATTTTTTCCGAAGTTTTTTAACTTTTTTTTGGACCATTTTCATTTTCTTTTTTTTTTTTGGCTTTTGCTTTTGGCTCATTAGGAATTTTTCTTCGCCAGTTTGTTGGAAAAGCGATAAAAATGTTTAAGGCAGCAGTGGTCCCTCCCCCTGTAGCTTAGGTTAGGCCACCCCCACCAGCCCCCCCGTGCAGCGCCTGCCAAATGGTGTTTAATGATTTATGAATAATCGCCATTTTGCATTTGAGTGATGACGATGGGCCAGCGCGGAGGGACTCGGCATGTTGTCTGTGGAGCCTTGAAGGGGGGGGTGGAGGGTGGGTGGGTGGATGGGTGACTGTGGGATGAGTGGGTAAGTCAGTCAGTCAACGCACCCAAAAGTCCATTTACACGTTTCGCTGGTAAAGGTGAAGGTGATGGCTCTTCCATTGAGCGAGTGGTGGGGGGTGTCTCACTTCCACGGGTGGTGGGTCGGTGGGTGGTTCGGACAGGCGTTATCAATGTTCCTGGGTGGTTTTTATACAAATTTTCATTTTCTTTTGATAATTTTTACATTTTTTTCGAGGGTTTTTTTTTTTGCTTTTTTCCTTTGCCTCATCGAAATTTTGTTGCTCATTTTCGTTGTTTTTACAATTTTCCACTTACGCGTTAAATATTTTTGACAAACAACACGCGCCTCTGCCACTGCGTCGCGGTGGGGGGAGTGGCGTGTCAGCCCTGACAGGGGAATGGGCTGGAGGGTGGAGGGTGGAGGAGGTGTGTCTGTGAAATGGATCGTTCGGCAATTAAGAATTTTCCCTAATTGAAAGTGCTGCTCAGTGGGAGTGAGTATTCAGTTGTTGGTTCGAGGCAGCAAAAAAAGCCACAAAAATGTTTTCTGGATCCTTGTGGAGTATTCCTTCTGCCACGGACTATCTTTCCGTTGAGCTCCGCTGATTTCTACTGCTCACCTTCGTTCCCACTATTCGTATGTTTATTTATTTTATTCATCATTTACCTGTTGATTATTTGGTTCTATTTATTTCACGGTTTATTTGTTGGTTTAATACTTATATAACTGTTCCCATATTTAAATCCCTTTAATTCTAGGTTCAACCCAGCTATGACCCTTCCTGGACTGAACACTGAGCTGACTGAGCTGCCTCTCGCATGCCACTCCCTCCTGCCTATCTGCCAGACTTCTTCAGCATCCCATTAAGGACACTTAGCCTAGCCCTCCCCTTTATCCCTTCCAACTGATACAGAAGGACAGATAAAGCGATCAATTCCGTTTGGAATCAAACTCAAACCGTACAAGTCGCCTGCCATTTGACTTTTGACAGTAACGGGTCTTAAGAGAGGAAACAACAACCGTAATAAAAGTATCAGCCCACACACATGCCACACACACATGACACACAGATATCCATACTTCCCCCTTCATGCACACCCACACGCACAGACACACACACACGCAGAGAGAGAGAGAGAGACAGAAACCCATTGAGAGGCATTTGCCTATCAAAAAGTTTTGATCTTTGATTGTCTGGGTTTGGCTTTTTAACTAATTTGCGACACCCTGCCCAACCCCCAGCCATTACAATGCTCTGCCACCTTACCACACACACGCACACGCACACATCATCCCCACCCGAACGACCCCTTCCCCTCGCTCTGTGCCAAAGTTAACCTCCTCCTTGAACGCAAAACGCGCTCAAACCGCATGCAAAACGCGTCACATGCAGTCACTGGGGAATTAACGCCCCATATACCCGCCCCTCACCCTCCCTGAACCACCACACGGGGCTCACAAATATTTTGCATACGTTCGTTTCGTTTAAGCCGCTGTAGCAATCACAATCCCCATCCAGCACTGTCCCGGCCCCCGCGTCCCTGTCCCAGCCCTCGTCCCAGTCCCTGGCTTTATTTGCGCAATATTTTTCTGATAATAACAAATTCGCGAATATGTTTATCTGCGTTTTCATTGCCATCTCCTGCCGTCTGTTTTCCACTGCCTTCTGCGCTTTTCCTTGCCTCCGTTGGCGTCTATTTTTTTTCGTTCTTTCCTTCTTTCTGCTGCTCTTGATAAAATGGAGCTTTGGCAGGGGTTTCGTTTGGATTTGTCCCGGGCTTCCTTAGCGCCCCGTCGGCGACTGCGACTCCACAGAGTGGGTCTCCCCCCCAGCGCCTTCCCGTTTGCTTTTCTTTTTTTAGCGTGCCACTAATTCCATTTGAGACGTAACGAAAACGAAAATGACATCAATTTATTTGTGTATTGTTGTTTGTTTTCTCTTCTCTTCACTCTGTTGCTCATCCTCTCATTGGCTGATTTTCTTTTCTTGGTGACAATATCCTGGGGTTCTGGCACTGCAGAGGGGTTTGCAAGGGGGGCGGCTCTCGGCAGCTGGAGAAAGAGGAGAGTGGGCCAAGAAAGAGGCTTGAATTCAAAAGGAAAATATATATAATTTTATTTTCCATGGATCTCAGTCCATGCATTGTACATGTTTATTTTTTTGTGTATGCTCCATCATTTATTGGATATCTAGAAATATCCATGAATGTTGCAACACGTGGAAACATTCTGTTTTATGTTTCTTGAGTGTTTTTGGCGTTTCATTCTTCGTTCGCATCCATCCGCAAAAACTCGACGGCCGCGTTCCAGAACACTAAGCCGGCCACTGAAAGAGCCAAAGGAGTTGCACATTGGGCCATTAGGATCCACCAAGGATCACCAAATACGTACTTATATCCAAGACAGCCACGCTGATGGCAAGTGGGTCGGCCTGGCCGTACAGAATGGTAAATATCAGAAATGTACTGCTCATAATAATCTGCACGATGTAGTTCCAGAGCAGAAGAAGAATCAAAGAGAAGATTTCCTGCAGGCAGATCTCTGGTTGGTGGATTTTACTCATTGACGCCAGACAGCGGCAAAAGGGCTACTCACAACGATGTGCCGAGACAGCAGTATCTGTGTTACGAGATACAAAAACACTTGGAGTGTTTGTACAATCGTCATGATGTACGAGTCATTTTCATTGATTTTGTCAGGATTCCTCTTATATTTTTCCGCTATCGGCTTGGTCAGTACCACGAACAAAACGTTGATCATGCTCAACAGCACAACATAAAATCTCTTCCACGCAGGCAACATTTCTGAAAGATCGAATTTTAGTTACTGTTTTCTGTTACAATTCTGTTTCCGAAAATACACAAATTTTTACTGTTTTAGCTGAATCTCAAGTGTCATTTATAAAAAAATGTTTTGAAGCTTAAAAAAAAAAGCAACTATTTTTAAATTTCTCATTTTATTGTCTTTACACAATTTATCTTATTATCTTATGTAATTGGTTGATATCGAATTTTCATTAAGGGATTCATACTCCTCCCGGATAGGTTATGAGAAAAAATTAGTTCAGTGATGTTCTACAGATTGGGCAGACTATTTTCCGGCAGAGTTCACGGGCTTACTGTTGTAGTTCCTTTTGAAATTTTTGTTTTAATCTCATAAGCAAGATTAATTGTTTAATTTTGTTCAGATCTCTTAGCTCTAACAGCACAGTAGCGCTCTTAACACACCAGAGTAACAGCAGCCTGTTACCGCTCTCGCTTAACAGAATGTGGCCGCGCTCCGTAAACAGCTCACTGTTAGCGCTCTCTGACACATCGCTCTCTGACACGATCCGCACGGCTCTCTCTGCGGGCTCGGCTCTCTTGTAAGCTAAGAATAAGTGCACATACACCTCCATTATAAATACGAATATACCCGAAGTCTGCAGTAAATACATATGTTTATGTACATGTACCATCGACATTTTCACTCTTCGTTTTAACATTCCGATATCTGCTATTTATGCACCCTTCTACAAGTA